TAGATGCATCTGATAGACCACTGTGTGAGAGAATACTGACCAGATGGGCCTAGGTTTGATCCAGCATGGCTGTTCTCATGTTCTACCAACCCAAGGCAATTCTATTTTTCCTGAAGTGTTTACTTCAAAATGCAACCAAAGGTTTCAGTGATTTCCTGGAGCCAAACAGAAAGGAAAAAAAAACACTGTGATTTTTTGCATATTGATGATGTTGCACCCTACTGTGCCTCCTTCAATATGGAATGAGGAACAGAATATGGGTGTTTCATTAGTCCACTGCTTAAATATCTCCTCTTGAAACACATCAAACATAAATATGTTTTATGTTACCCTTTTGAAGTTTCAATATTTCTGCATAAATATGTCCTAAAATGTGATCTGTTCCCACACAAGGTCCAAATCCAGATAAAGAAAACTCAATTAAACAAATGAATCAAAAATATTGTACTTGTTCATTTATTCATTGAGGAAAACGATCCAAAGCTACATATTTCAAAATACTTTTAATTTCATAAAAGGAAATACACAAAACTTCCCTGGGATCCAAACAAGTTTTACTTTGATGATCCTTTCCATTAATGCAAGCAATTGTATAAGTAATAGCTACCTCCTGATCTTACCGGAAATAAGCTACGATTCCTAGGCTCCCAAAATATCCAACATAATTTAGCCCCAGTGCCACTAATCTGAGGATAGCTAATGAAAATATACTTCAAAATCTTAATCTGTTGCAGAAAGGAGGGACAAATGTTTACTTCCTTTTCATGAACTTCCATAGATAACTGGGTGGCTGTTGCTAAAAACGAAATTCTAGACTAGGGAATTTGGGTGTTATCCAACAGCTTGTATATTAATCAGATTCCTGTTTTTGGTCTTAATCTGTAGTGCCATCTATTGTTACGTTGTGGAAACTTCATCAGCCAGTAAAGACATAAGTTAAAATGCATTGCTTGCCTAACCTATATGTGCTAATTAGTTTTTAAAACTGTAAACTGTATTTGATCTTGAGATTAAAACAAACTCCAACAGCTACAAAATGCATTGTATGGGCTCAAGAAAGGCTGCATAATTCCCCCCTCCTCCCCAGAATGTATTGTCTAGTTAAAGCCAGACAGTTTTACTGGAACTGTTTTTATAATAGATTAGACTAATTTACAGTCTAGACCATGGATGATAGAGATTTAGACTCCTATTCAGAGGCAACTTTTCCATGTTTGCAGAAGCTCTCGTTTTCTTTATAAAACTAGTATTTAGTGCAGGGGTTCCCAACCTGGGGTGCTCACACCCCGGGGGTGCGAGATGGAATTTCAAGGGGAGAGGCTTGTGTCCCTTAGTGATGAGTCATGAGTCATCACCCAGCCAGCTGCCAGTGTGCCTTGAGCACATCTTCAAATGTGATACTACTGTTGTAGGGGGTATGAACATCAATCAAACATTTCCGAGGGATGTGGGGCATAGAAAAGGTTGGGAACCACTGGTTTAAATATATCTGTATTCTAGCTCAATTCTGTTAATTTCATAAGGATTTAGCAGTTGCTTTTCCTAGAGATGACCATTTTTTTTTCAAAAAAAACTATCATTGTGGATATAGAGGAGGTATCAGAAAGGATTCATGTCCAACCAACCAACAAAATAAAGTTAAAGGTCTTTTAGTAGGTGTTACCGAGGTGCCAGAATATATATATAAAACACCAGCATCAGATAGTAAGATTACCCAAACCAGATTTCTATTAGTTTTTGGTACGATGGTAAGAAGCTGGGTTTTGCTGTACACTTTCCTGTTCCATGCTGTTACCAGACTTCATTGGCCCTCACTTTTATGAAAAAGAGAGTAAGATAGTCATTGATAGTACTTTTGGGGGAAAATGTCAAAGTGTGCTGTATAGGCTGACAGAGGGATTGGATCATGCCCTTCATTGTCACACGGGTCTCCCCACTATGGGGGTCTGCCCCACCCTATTAAGGCAGCCTGGGCCGCTGTAGCACTTTAGCTGTTTGCTGTAATCACCTTCTTTCCCTCCCCTCCGCCAAGATTTTAAAAGCAAGGCCAAAGGAAGATGGCTTCCTCTTTCTGCTGATTAAGAAACACAAGTCAGTCCAGTATTTGGTAATCAATCTGGACAGTCCTAGGCTTTCTGAAGCATGTTACCAAATTACATCTCCCAAAGACAGAAATTGGCACCCAAAACATCTGCTTAGTATTTAAAGAAAAATGGAATGGTTATTAGGCCTCAGTAAAACAATGAGGGTGCAAAAAAGGAAATGATAGCAAAAAAATGATGGATTGGCCCACAAGATCTTGAAGCATGTTACCAAATTACATCTCCCAAAGACAGAAATTGGCACCCAAAACATCTGCTTAGTATTTAAAGAAAAATGGAATGGTTATTAGGCCTCAGTAAAACAATGAGGGTGCAAAAAAGGAAATGATAGCAAAAAAATGATGGATTGGCCCACAAGATCTTGATGGGTCCTCAGAGAGAATTAACTTTGAAGGAAGCCTTGAGAACATGCAAAATAAAACCTTACTCTAATTCTATAAATTTCATCCTAGATTCCCATCTGAATACTTGATGCTTACGTTGTCACAATACAGGAGTCCCTACAGTCATCCACCATTGGGGATATACTTTCATTGGAGGACATATGACTTAATTCCTTCAGTGGAAGCCCTCTACAGACTTCAGTGCATTCCATAATTGCTTGGGACCCTTCCAAAGTATTGTCAATCTGATCTTAGCATATTGCTTTTCACTCCTTCTCTCAGAGTTGATAGCTATCTTTTGAAGGAAGCATCTATATTTGTAATTTGGATTAGTGTGTATGCACTTCATGGAATATGCACATACCTATGGAGAATACAGATTATTTTGATGAGAGTCAACTTTGTTTAAATCATTAAGTCTCAATGAGCAATTTATTTCAGCACTTTGACCAGAATATTTACATGTTTTATTAAATCTTTACAATCAGCAATTATAATCAAGTAGACAATTTTATATACAAAGATTATGTACACTTTGAGCTCAGACTTTTACATCACAGTACACAGTTGCCCTTAGGGATATTGTACACGCTTAAAATCACCAGACTGAAAAATCCAACAGTAGTGTTAACAGCACCCCTTTAGACTTTTTCATAAATTACATCATAAGAAAATATATGGCTGTAAATTGGGTTGGTAAAAAGTCTTACAAAATGTGGATGTATGGTATGCATTCATAGAATGTTTTCTCTCCATTGTACTGACTGTTGGGTAATATCATCCCTCGGATCCCTTTGCACCTGCACTAAGTAACCACGTGGAAAGATCGAGACAAAACAAGCAGGTTAAGGAAGAGCCCAGCAATAGTATTATGCCAACTTCTGCATGGCTTCCCCTTAGGTTAGAGGCATGCAAGTGGCTGACTTTCGTGCTTCTCATAGCATGTGCCAGAATGGTACTTCCAAAAAGGCTGATATGAAGATCTTAATTAGGTAACTTCTCTCCAAAAAGCTGTTTTCAAATCTAGTTAATATGTAAACCTTTTATTGTTGAGCAGGCTTATGGCTGTGATGAAGAACTAGGCATATAAAAAGGACAAGCTATATCTGAGGTAGACTACCACCTTTCAGATGCTCCTTTCTAATGGCAAGTAAATATCTCAATAATCCCTGAATCAATGAGGAAAATTCAAAGCATTTGCAGATATTTAATGGCAAGCATAACCTAACATCCATGGTATGAACTATGTATAGGGAGCAGCAGGTGTGCAAACTCATAATAAATTATCTCTAAGAGGTGGTGAAAATTTAGTGGTTGCTGTGCAACACAGACATAAATCTGTCCAAAATGCTTGGTGAAGATACTACTAGTAAATTATTTTATCAGAAACAAAATGAGCAGGTCCTGCTGCAGGGCTAAAGAAAACAGCAGCTTGGTAAATTACTCTAAATCAGAACAAATATTTTAAAAGTAAAGGCCTTCATATTCTGGACAAGCAGTATACTCCATGTGTTTTTAGTGTATTTTGTAAGTGCAAAACTCATTCTCATCTACCATAGGGCCCTAAACTATCCAAGGACACTTTAGAGAATTCTGTACTGAAGTTCTCTGAAGGAATATTCTATCATGTAAAAATCAAGCTTTAAATCTAAACACAATTTTGGGTTCATTATATGCAAATAAAACACTTTAAAAAAAGTCAAAGGACACTTGTTTTATTAATTCACTAAAAGCCACCACCATTTTCACCCAATTCCTGCAGAAGACTTTCTACCCAGGTAGCAGATTCCTAAAAACATTCTGATCTGTACATTTAAAAGGCTGTTTTACATTTTGTACAAGGACCTTTCAGCAATTTGTCCTGCATAAGTACATATATAACTGCTGTGAGAGATTGGTTTTAATCATTTACTGTATATCATTCTTTGAGACCAAGAAATAACTCTGGTGTATCAGAGCAAAAATGTAATTCATTCCAACCTCAGTTCCTGGCTCAATCAGAATATAAACCACCAGAGGTGGTTTAACTTTCAGGCCATTGCACCTGACCTTTTCCTCATAGAAAAACCCACTATTGTCACTCAGCTCTATTGGGAAATAAAATGCTGCAGTAGAGGGTAGCCATCAGTTCCCTCCAGAAATCTGCTATCCAGTCCAATATTGGATGAACGGGTTTCAGTAATAAGGAGCCTGCATGTCTCCTGGTCAGGTGTACTTGCAGTATGACAAGAATTTCCTTATTACATATTGCATGTGATCATATGATCTTTGTCAATTTTTGGAACAAATCAGTTACATGTGAAAAGGCCAAGTAGTGCACAGTGCAATATTGCTGTGTCAAATTATTTGACTTTTTGCTTCCTAAAAGTTAAAAAAAATTGAAATAAAAATGGAAGTAATTATAATTAGGCAGTCTTATTTGATTTGTTTGCTACACTCGGGTTTTTAAAAAGGATGCTAAATTTAAACTTAAGACATTTGTGAAACATGATTGCTATGAAATATTTCTGCTACAATTTAAAAAGAATCTACACTAATGACATGCAAAACGTTCTGAGTTCAAAACATTCTGCGTTCAAAATGCTCTGGTCTGAGTTTGAACAGGACTTTCCAGAAGTGTTCCAAATAAAAAGTGGGTGTATTCTGAGCGCAAAATACCTGCTATGACTTGGGAACATTTCCAGAATGGTCAGGACAGCCTTCCAATAAGCACAGATCAACCCAAGTTGAAGTCGAAAGGTTTCAAATTCAAAACGTTTTGCATATCCCTAATCTACACATGATACTCGTTTCTGCTTGACTTCATATTATGCTAAGGATGCATTATTTCTAGTTAAGATACTGGCCATTTTTCGCAGAAGGAAAACATACAAATTGTAAGATATACACAGGAATAAGATGGTTTTGATGTAAGGCCCACGTAATTACAAAATAAATTAGATCCTGATGCAAGATGATTCCGTACCTTTTCCAGAAATTGTGAAGGATGCTAGTTTGGGCTCATTTTGAGCTTGCCATTTTATGCACAACATTCGAAACCAAAATGATGGGAGTGTAGAGAGAGGTTTTGTCCCATTATCCATATACAAGTTTAAGAACTCTCCAGGTTTCTTCTTCTTCTTCTTTTGTTAACAGAGCACATTGCCTTTGGTTGATATACTACCTTGACTTGAACCAAGAACAAAGAATAATATCCAAGTGAATGGGTCATTCTTCAAAGTGATAAAATGGAAGAAGTGATAAGGAGGTACAACAGCACACTTACTACATTAAGTGGCACAAAACAATCACAGCTGCCCATTGCTTTGCCTTCATCATAAAGGCACAACAAACTCTTTTCCACCAAGTCTTCAAAAAGACTTTGAAACACAATGTTGACTCTTGAAACAGTATTGCCACACCTGCCAACTGATGGCCTCCATGGGCCAAGATGTAACACTACGACTAGCCATTCAGGCTCACCGGTGCATTAATCCCACTGCAGTCATTTCTTTGTCTCCCTAAGACTACGCTAAGCTAACCCACGACAATCTGGAACACAGGAAGAATCCATATCATTCCCTGAATGAACCTCCTGTATTGCAGCACCATGCAAAGGAACTCTGCAAATGGGTTGATTGCACATTCCCGTTTTTAAAAACAGGATAAACAAACAAACAAACAAAAAGTTCAAATTATAACACATGCTGGCTTTTGCCAATAAAAACCTGGCTGCTTGTCACAATACTGAACAATTCTTTTTGAATTTCAGGTATTAGGGCCATTATATCCTCTGTAAAGTTCACAAGCAAAATATCTGAAGTTATAGTTCATCTTTTTCCATCATTTCAAATGCTTCTATATCTTCATTCCAATCAGCTATTATTGATTCCATAGATTGGTCTTTATTACTCCAGTTATTACTGGGACTGGAATCTGCCTCAATCTTTGATTGTTCCTCAGGATGATTATCCTCTTCTGATGCTTGACTGCTACTGCTAGTTTCCTGGAATTCAGGGGTACAAGAATCTTGGTTTGTTTGAGAAAAACTACTGCTCTCTGACTCTGCAAATGAGCTCAAACCACCTTCTCCTTCAGAATCTTGAGTGACCAAGTTCAAATCTGCTGAAATGTCTTCCGTTTTCTGGTTATGAGAATCATTTTCAGATGACATCTGATCCACGTTTTCCATTTCCAAATCTTAGAGGTAAGACAAAAACAGTACTTTAAAACATCTCTAGCTTACTATCCTGCTAGAAGTACCATGCAATTCTGCAATAACATCTACTTTTTCTTAACTATGATTAACAGTGTCAAAGTTAAATTCCAAAATGCACACCTTTGAGGTTCTTCAAGTTTGCATTTGTTAGAGAAGTATTATAAAGAAATAAGTATGAATTACTGACTTGACTGCTAAAATTAAGATAATTTCCTCCTGAGGAAACTGATCAATCTAAATTTCTCTGGGACCAAATTTTTTTCCTTACCCTGAGCAACTGTTTCTGAACATATAAGCATTAAAATAAATAGCATAGCATAGCAGAATTTGTCCAATACAATTTTTACCTGTTTTGAGTCTAAATCAGTAATTTTCAGAGAATTCTAACATTAGGGTATAGCTAGAATCCTAACCTCCAGCATTATTTGGAATGGACTCCTGGATCACTGTACTAGATTCCTGAAGCTTGTAGAAGAAACTAGTGTTGCCTCCCACAAACTATGTGAACCTAAAATATGGATCAAATTTTTATGCTGTGGTATATTCTGACAAAACAGTGATGATACTGAAGAAAATACCTCAATTGGTTTCTCGGCTATCATATTTTTCTTAATGGGAGAACCCAACGTAGTCAGGCATATTTCTACAATAGATATTGTACATTTCTTCTTGGATCAACCGTCAACAGCATCCCAATAACTTTTAAGCACAAACTATTCATAAATCAAGGCCTAGGTCTTTCTGACTAATTTACACTTCACTTAGTTGTAGTATTAGGAAACATCTCAAAGTATCTTCTCTCTCTCTCTCTCTCTCATTGCATG